ATGGTTATTCTCCCGAAAAAGAGCGTAGCGCTCCTGTTACCTTTTCATTGGTTGAGTGTCTAATTTACTACTTTTCTTCTTAAAAGACAAGTCATTACATAATTCCATAAAGTACTCAAAGAAAGACACCGAAACTCCAATTTTCTGAAGTTCAGCGTCGAGAATATTAGATTATCCAGTTCGCAAGATCTGTTTAGTCAGTGTCATTCTTACCCAGTTGAGTTATATTTTCATTTCTTTGGATATCACCTTTTATAATGAGCAAATTAAGCCCATTTCCACAGGAGATACGTTGATGATATGTTAGATATATATAACAAACATGAGGATGTGACTCTGTTTGGGTAGGACGCGGGTTCTAACAATAAGAGAAACGAGTAATAACGCAACGAGATACTTGGACTGGATAAGTGTAATGCAACTGTTCTCCTCCACACCTGATACTTCACTGAGCCGCGAAAATCAGAAGACAAAAGACGGGCCTGTGAGTGGCGTAAGAAAAACGATTTTATGTGACAGAAAGGTAGTACTTATATACACCTGCTCCTCAGAAAATGAAGCCACTAGATTACTAATCGGATAGACATAAATCAAGATCTGAAAGGAAAATATTTCTACGGCGAATGACCTTAAACTATGGTTTCCATTCTTGGCCACTTCCTAATACCTGCTCCCGTACATAGTGTATGATTTCTTTTTAGGGTCCACTTGGAAGGGCTTTGGTCTTTTGCAGGTGATAACTGACTCGGGGCTGAAGATTCGTAAGGTGAGACAGCAAAACATTCAAAAAAATGTTCGTCGTCCCTTCTTCCTTTACCTTTAATACATCGTCTGCAACAGAGAATGACACATGCTTCTGAAGCGAGTGTTCTGATTGAGACTTATATATGAGAGAGAGGGTGACGTTGTATCAGAACATATTGAATTCAATGGAACATTAAAGATATCAAGTTTACGAATCCACTCCAGCCCAAGTACGTCTAAATCATGACGATTTATGACCACCGAATTGAATATGGCAACAAATCTCACTAATGAGTTTTAGCACATCTCCTGAAGCATTTTTAACAATATGGTCAGTTGGATGAATCCGTGGGCACCCAAGTGTGCGCCATATGCTGAGGGAAATAAAAGCGATATCAGATGTTGTATCCTGCTGCAGACGAATAGGTTTACCATTAACAGATAGATTAATACATCTTCTTTTGCTTCAAAATCAGCTTTGAAAGTCGTGAAAATCCCTTGAACTTGGCTGAATGAGTTGCATTTGACAAACGAACTTTCGGTCTTCATGGGAGCATTTTTATTTGAGGGACAGTAACCCTCTTTGTGCCCAAAACGATGATACTGTAGGCACTTGTGGTTTTTGATTGGACAGAACTTAACAAGATGCCATGAACCACAATGCCAGCAAACTAAAGGGAGGTTACCTGAGGGCTGTGATTGACCTTGCGTGTGCGTGGTTGTAGACTGAGGGGTTTTCACTGCTTTGACTGAACCTAAATCAGACGGCTGGGACTTTTGCTATACCGTAGTTGCATCGTGCTTCGAAACGAATAGGCGTTGGCATTCTGCTGTCACCATCTTCAGTGTCACTTCTGGATCTTGTTCGACACGTGATAAAAGCCTGGTTCGGATATCAGCGTTTCAACAAATAGAAACCAAACATTTAAATTGGTTGGAAGTCATTTCATTGACTTTGAATAGCTCTCACTCACAATTCACCTTGCCAGCATATGACACAATCATCAAAGGGTAACTTGGATAACTGAAAGCAATGATATCGAATGTTAAATGCAGAAAATATTTCTACCTTAACTGCGAATAACCTTAAACGATAATCTCCGTTCTTGGCCACTTCTTAACGGATAGGAAAAGTCTTCTAAATACACTTAACACTATACAAAGCTACATCAGTTTATCGTATGAAGTAGAAAACAATAATCAGCTTCCTTTTCTCAAAGCATTAACTAGAAGGGAAGACAAGCTGATAAACAGATCAGTGTGCAGAAAACCTACGTAGAGAGGACACTACCTAAACTTTCATAGTTTCTGTCCAATACGGTACAAAGGAGGTTTAGTAGACTGCTGATTCAAAAGGATCTAACTTATCTGCACAGCCGATACATTGAAAGAAGAAATCGAATTCCTAACTTATCTCCTCTGAAGTTCATCACTCCTCATAAAAACGTCTTGACGGTACGAACTAATCAGTATTCCATCCCAAAGTAGGACGTTTACAACAGGCTACCTACCGTATAAGAGGAAATCAAACAGCATAATCTTTTTGGACAAAGGCTTATTTCACTTACTAAAAGGGCATACTATGCTGCTAAGCTCAGTATCACACGACTATGCTCAAACAAGAAATGCCTCATTATCTTACGAATTTAATTTCTTCATAGAATAATTTTGTATTACCTGAATTATTTATCTATGTGACTGAGACAGACGTGGTTCAGCAGATTAGCATTATTGATACAGAGGGATGATTGATTTAGTTGGAAAAAACAGTATAAACATATACGTATTTCTGGAAAGTCCTTATCCGACTTTACAATTACATTTAGGAATTATCTAACGTACTCATTTGATACCATTTTGGTCAATAGAATTCATGCACATGGATTAGAATATAATAGCAAGGGCAATAACAACAATAATTGTATCATACAAGAGTCTATGTAATCTCACTGGTCAACCAATGCTGTTGTGCGACTGGATTGTTTATATTTCGGTGGTGTTGTATTCTCTTAATTGGATGGTCTAATCATGAAGCTTCCATTGTCATTCTAGTCACTATCATCAATACAAACTCCAGAAAAAAAACGAATTATAGGGTTTCCTCCACAGGTAGCCTGTCCTGTGTGTGATTGGCTGTTTCTGTCAAGGTCTCGCCACTGTCTCCATATTTCTTTCTACTGGTTGTTCTGATGACCTGAAGTTTGACCTTCTTGTTGTTTCTTATTGGCTGGTAGATTGAGACGAAGTCGATATGTGTTGATTGCTGACTGACCCGAATTCCAAGCTTCTAAAAATTGTCCGTATGTATTGATATGAGCGAAGATTTATCATGACACTTTACTGCTAGTTGATGTTTATGTAAACGGATACGAAGAGGGTGACCAGTCTATCTCATATCGTGCTTTTTGCAGTTTACTCAGTTTTTTTCAGATAACGTTTAGTTTGTCTTCCTTCTCTATTACATCTTTTGGCCTGCATAACAGAGAGTGAAGAGATTTTGTGAGCTACAGCAATTCGATGGGGCTTCAATAATCTAGTCATGATCTCGGAGAAGTTCTTCATATAAGGTAAGACGATTCGTTTGTTGGTTTCCGAGGCTGACTTCTTGATTGATGACGAACTATGTAAACATCTCATGAAGTTACATGGGTAGCCGTTCTTTTGGAAAATAGTCCTCTTCCTTCCTCCGCAGCGTTGATGTACTACCATATGTCTCCGCTCTTTTGAACTATGTTTTTATACAACTGATTCTGTATGGTTTTGGGTTGTTGCTACTGTAGTTTAAGACTTGATCCGTATGAGTTAATTTGCTATATACTTCAGTTTCTGATTTTTCCGAATCAGTTCGAATGATAAGAACATCCAAAAATGCAAGTTTATAATTTGATTCCACTTTAACTGTGAATTTGGCGTTGTCGAAAATGTTGTTGATTGCGTATGTGTATATCAAGGGATAGGGTGTAACAAATCATTGTCATCTAGCAGTTAAGTAATGAAATGTTTAAGTTTACAGTAAATCATAATGCAGTATAATGATGGTGACATTGATATGAGTGCACACAGAGGTTTAATTTATATTCATGGTTTTTCCACTGAAAAGAAAAAAGGGTAAGAATGTGCAGCCTTTATCAACAAGGTATAGGTGATTATCAAATCTAAGCATAATCCATATGCCATGTCGGTTTCCAATAACTTCATAGCATTTTTCATATGTTCCTAGCATAAAAGAGAATGAGGAGAACAAGTGTACACTTGTAAGATATCACGTTATGAGGCAGTTATTCAACATTCTTGAACAATCTCTACCTAAATAGCAAATTTCACTGTATACTACATGATACTGCTAGCAAAGTTCTCAAGCTTTTATCAGCATTCATAGCTTATCAACGAACACCGCTCTTGATAATGGATGGTGTTCGAAGATGAAATGGAAATCTGGGCCACCACAGGATTGGAACCAATGACTTCCAGGTTACAGACCCGGTGTTCTACCAACTGAGCTACAAGACCCAGCTTCTGACTACATCCTAATTTCACTTTATTCATTTAGTCTTATTTACAAATGATCTTTCATATCTTCAAGTTGATGCAAGCTGTATCTATTTGAGATGGTAAAAACGAAACAATAACCCCGTATTTGAAGATATGAATTGGGTATAATAACGTGAAATGAAATTAGGGTTCAGTAGCCGGATGTACCTTGCGAGTTAGTTAATAAAACATTAAGCAGACAACCAATATGATGATGATTTTAAGCTTTCTTAGATTAAAATTTTCTCTGTCACATAGGCATTACCGATAAACTACTGAGAACATTTATAACATTAAACAGATTTATCTGGGAGTGCACCATGCAGAGTAAAGAATGCGAAACTAATAAAATCCTCTTCCTGAGTTGTAAATATCCTACACTGTCATCAAATAACACAAACTGAATCTGATACATTCAGCAGAAGTGCGGAAAACACGAGATAATTTCTACTACATTCTATTATAACAAGATAATTTCATTTTCAATCATTTATCCTCTCTAACTCTCTTTCGCACATGACCTTTACTACATATCAACCAATCAAATCACAGAGAATGGACAGGCAGCTTAATTATTTTATTCGAATATCTTTCTTTCGTCTATTGAATTGGCTTGGAACCTTCAGAGTTATTTCTATCTTCCTACTCTCCCTCTCGCTTTTTCTTTCTACCTATCTTGATGTTAATGGGAGAAATGAACAAAATTCATTATAGGAAAGTGAACTAGCGCATCGAAGGCGGATCTGATTGGTTTCCAATTAACTTTTTTATTTATTAAAAAAGTCTAATAAGTAAGTAATAACTTCTATCTTGAAATGCTATAGTAGTTAATAAAATGTTCTCCCGGAAAACAAATTTAGCTTAACAAACGTATATGTGATATATTTCAACAAGTAATCCTAATCATTTGTCCATATAGTTAATAAACACCATCAGTCAAATAATTAACGAACTAGTATGTTTGCGCCATCAGACGATTTCTGCCAAAATTCTAAATCCACTATGTTTGAACAGTTAAGACAACACTACTCACTACAATATGATAAAGAAACTGTGTCAAATTTAAGTAGCCTAATGAATATTTATTATACTTTAAATTGTTTTCTCAATGATAATTACAGTCAGTGTATTAGCTATGATCAACAGAAATCAAATTTCGGATTGATTAACCCTTTAATAACAATTAATACATATTCAGAATATCCATTTTGGTCGTCTGTGTTAATCTCCGCAGCAGCAGCTGCTGCTACATCAGAAACTATGCCATCAGCCTTTCTAACACTACCATCGAAGATGATAAAACAAGCTGAGACAATGTCATCCTTATCATCACTGATGATGGTCGATGAGTTACATCAAGAAAGAAATAAGAATAACTATGAAGAGGAATTTTATAGTAAATTCTTCAACTGTGTACTTAATCGGAATGAAAATTTATGCTGTAATGCAGTGGAACAATTAAGTTCATCATCATCGTCTTCATCATCTTCTTCATGTTCAACTTCATCAGCATCATCGTCATCGCCATCATTTCAGGGTAAAGAGAAGAGTAATGGATTTTTTGTCAAAGATTTACTAAGTTCAAGTAAAGATGAGAATTTTCAACAACGAGACAGCAGTATGTGTGATTACAATGGCGAAGAGGCAGGAACAATTAGTGAACAAGATAACAATGAACGATTCCTTAAATTTGAAACCATAACTTACACCAATAACCACAGGGATGATGACAGTACTTGTAACAGTATAAAAAATCTTCATCAGATAAACTTCCAAAAGAATAAATCAGCGAGTAAATTCACTACACCACAAGAAGATAATAATACAAATTGTATTAGGAAAGTGTTAAAAGACGACGGAAATCGACTGAAAACTAATCGTAGTCAAAATAGAAAGCTGAATTCACGTCATCGGACAGATGAGGTCACGTCATCCAGTAAGCTCAGTGCAAATGATTCAAACCGATTACACTTACCAGCTTGGGTATTCTGCACTAGATATTCAGATCGTCCATCATCAGGTAAATTTCATAGTGTATTTGATTTCGTTGATCGCAATTAAAATTCTATTTAGCTGATCATTTAACCTATTCAAACAAACTTTAGGTGTCCAACTGATAGTAAAATTGATTATTCATAATGAGGCTATGATTGACAGTTTTGTCATATTCATGAGAATAACAGATTAGAAAATATCTTCTTTTTTCGAATTACTCTTTGGACTAAGCTTAAAAGATCATTCAGTGTGTACTGGCTTGCAAAGTATGTGGATTCACTTACTTCTGTCAGATTAGTTTTAAGATTTTTTGGACCTGATATAACAGTACCTTGAGTAAATTTATTAAAAGTCTGTTCTCAAGACTAGCAAGAGCGATGGAATGATTATATCGCTAAAAGTCAATGTAGATTTTTAGCTGTGTGTGTGTGTATGTGTGTGGTAAAGTTAGTTCTAAACTAGTTGTGCTTCAATAGGAGTTGTGTGTCGTTCAGTCAAAGACACTAAGAACCATTGAGGTGGAACAATCATTGAGATAACAAATCATGGTATCGAAACTGCTTCCGTTCTTTGTTATATTCAGAGAAGGCGGTTATTATAATTTGGTTTAGATTTAAATTAAATTTACTGGGTAAAAAAAGTTTTAATAGAAAACGCTTTAGGGCAAACAGATCTCGTGAATATTAGAGATTTGAAAAAAGAAAGAGATAAACAACTGTTGAAATGGTCGATTATTATTCATTCACAAATCTCCAGGGATTATACATGACAGGCCTTGTTGGGCTGTCAACCTAACGTCGAATGAATTATAACTTTTCATTCTCAATTACACTTCGTACCTCTGTCAGTTAGATAGCTGGATAAAGTGACCTTAATTCATCCTCTTTTGTGTCATGATGCTTTTCAAGAGTTGATAGACCAATTTTTCGCCATATTTTACAACGGAGCCTTTGGAAGTATTGCATCTCACTGCCTTATATGACTTTATCGCTTTAATAGTTGGACTCATTGTGATATCTCAGACAGAATAATCAGCTCAAACTTTAAATTTTTGTGACTTTTTCGAACTTTGTCTTGAGAGAGATACATAGAATGATAAGGATTTTTCTATCTCAGAAGCTTTGAAAACAGTCAAAACATTTCATTAGTTTAAAGACTTGTCTATGTAGTATGCTATTTTCCCTAAAATACTCATACTGTTTAAGCCAGTTTTAACAGTTTATGAAATAGGAGCATATGAAGACATTCACAAACGTTTGTAATTATCATCATCTGAATTTTATTGAAATTAGTTTGGAGTTTAGTAGGGACTGATTGGTTTTAACACTAGATTACTGTCTAGTGCTCATTAGTGACATGCTTCGAGATGAATATTCCAAAGTTTTAATAAGAACCCATGACCTGTGGGGTCAGCCAAGTCGAAAGTGCAGCGGATGCTAACTGAAGAGCTTAGGTGATGGTCATGCTATGTCGCGAATTGACAGAAGTAAGAAAAAGTGAACCGCTGAACTCCGACGAAGTAGGTGGATAGTTAACGCATTTGCCGGGAGGTGTTGAGGTCCTAAGTTCGATATATGGCGCGACGATGGGTGCGTACTGCTGAAGAGTCCCATATTGGGACAAACAGTTGTCAAGAGCTCCGGGGTGAATACCAACCTTATTAGTTTTTCAAAGCATTTGTTTAAGCGCATAATGTTTTATTCATACTTTTCGGTCTGATCTTATCTAGTGGTATTTGAGGTATATGAAGCAGTATTCATCTGGGCAACCATATCGTGATATGTTAGGCAGTTTTCATCACTGATTTAATATATAGTCAAAAATAGTGCCGTTACAATTCCTAGCTTATGAATAACAGATATACAATTTACTGATCGAAGTAACTAGTGCTTGTTGATGCAAATACATGAGATAACCTCAATTTGGAAAATCAATTTTAACGTAAATACGTGATGATTGCAAAGAGAAGCCAGCCCTCATAAAAACGGTATCCAATCCACCAACCTCAATATTATAATTATAAAACTGCTACTACCAAACGTCATGGTGAATGTAATAATAGTACTTCGACAACAAAGGTATCGACATAAGTTTTATTTCGGTCGCTTTAACACAAAGGTTGTTTAGTGGGACACTTATTACAATGCTTTCAATTTTGATTGTTGGCATAAACTTAGTTATGTAGCATGAACTTTTCATGTTTTAATTGTATCTGGGATTTCAGTTTAATTTTCGACTCGGCTCCATATTCCAGATGGGTCTTCAGATCTGCTGACGTTCCAGCACAAACCTGGTGAATCAATCTATCTGCCAAGCGGAAGACATTCAAGCAATGCATTTACATGAAAACGAACACTATTGCAAGAATTTTCTGATAACACGTCCTTAAAATGATCAGTGTTATCCTAGAATCCTCTCAAATATCAGGCTTCAGCGCATTCACATTCACTGAGTAATCGGTTTGTTGGTCGTACTCATCTACCTGTGGCAGATGTGTGTGAGACTCCGTTTTTTGAAGTCTTCACAACCTTATAGACTGAATGCCACTCACGTTCTGGAAATGAAATTCCTCTGGGATGCCTGGTTCATGAGCTCATAATGCTGATAAATTCAAAGCGATGGTTTCCTTCGGGGTTGTGATATACAATCAAGGCTAAGGATAACAACACAGGCATTTTGAACTGGTTATCTCTCGCTTTCGCAAATTGATACAACACCTGTCTCTGGGAGTTGCCTTAACAACATTACCACCTGAGTTAGGGAGCTGAATTCAACTTAATTTCCGGCTGCACTGCTCCCATCAAAATGAGTGGAATCCTGATGGCTGGCAATGTCGTCTGTGCTTTGGAGACAAGTGCTACTGATTTTGTGCACATGAATTTCGTTGATTGCAGTTTTCGCTAGGTCACCTTGAAGGTATATTGGTTGAGATCCAGTGTCGCTATTAGGAGACTCGCCACTGTACAAAACTAAGTTCGCCCATAGTCCCCTGCTTTCACCAGCCAGCAACACAAACTCGGTACCACTTAATCGTGCTGGAATGGAATAAACATTTTACTTCCATAAAAGCCTGACTGCTGCTAGTGAACATAAACAGATCCAAACTGGGGTGGCATGGGATCGAAATGCTACATTAGTTTGTAGTTTAGGTTAGAATAAGCGATAAAGTTTCCTGTACTACCCATTACTCAATTATCCAATATGTACACATAAACTATAATAAGGATGACCTGTTTGTTACTTTACCTGGTTATTGAGCGTGATATATCATATGATGTACACGGGTAAAAATGCAAGTAGAAATATCATGTATTTTTCAGCGTTTCTAATACAGAGTTTCGATTCAGTGTATTTTGAACAAAATATCATTCACTGAGAACTGTGGGAAAAAGTTGTATTAGTAGGGTAATATATCAACATTTATCAACAGAATGTTCATTGATAGACATCCGTCACAATGTCAACGATTTTAGTGACTTTTGTTCTTCAAACTCGCTTACTTATCTGCACTTTATCTTTTCCCTACATTAAAAAACATTTTTTGTGTTAGATTTTTGAAGTCAGTCAATAGCAAGCTCTTTTCCATGTAGGTTTTGTACTTTTCCATGTTCATAACCAAGGCATATCTGCAACCTTTGGAAAGCTATACTTCTTATTGGACTTGAATTTGCTTTACATTAATCTAATCAGATCACAAATGACCCGGATGATTGCTGGTGTAGTTGTCCAGTGGTGAGTAGCAGCAGTTTCGATTCTACAGGGGAACTGCTTTTCTAGAGACTATAGATACATCTTACTCATAAGTGGCAGTAAATACAGAGCCTAGGCTGAGCAGGGGTGGTTGTTCATTGATTTCAGATATCTGAAGTGCATCTGGGTGTCGCATCAATCAGCTCAATGACCACCATGTAGAAATAATCTTTAAACCTCAATGAACTGCCATTGGACGAGTAAGTTTTGAGAGCTTCTGTATGAAATATTAATACATTTGGAGTACACAGTTCTTAGTTATTATTGTCTTCGATGTTATAATCACTGCATTTTCTAGCTACAACCGGCTAGCCAAAAACTCTATACGTAGGTCATAATAAGGTTTACAGTTTCTAATGTTTATTTATGATGAGGCTGAACAAGGCGAATTATTTCGTGAAAACTGCCGACGAGCTCGAACTCAAATGGCCTTCCGATATGTGGATCACATTAATCTAACTACTAAGAAACACTGTCGGCTGGTCAGAATAAGTTCAGTAGTGTGAAGGTGATAACGATGTAAAGTGAACAAAACTAGAGAAGTAAGTGAAACTGTGAAAATTTATTAAATGATTCAACAAATATTCTAGGGAAGACAATGAAATTTGAAAGAACGTTGCGAATCATGAAACTATAGAATCGACAAAAGCTAATATCATCGATTTTTTAAGCACAACAAAAGACTGACAAACTTTCAACTTTCAATAACAAGATAAAATGAACTCAGAAACTCGGAATTAGTCTTGTAATCGGTAGATAAGGAAGACTGTATAGTAAAGATATATGAAATATATCAAACTGCGTGACTGGAATTATTTAAAGAAAGTTGGTTTATAAGGCGATGGAATATACGTCAATGAACTGTTGTGTAAAACAGGGTCACTTATTAGTATTTCGACAGCATCGCGCTTCGTAGACTGCAAAATAACGGGCTCCATTTGTCGTTGTGATGGTTTTGATGCATTGGCTTTTTTCAGTATTAATTGGATGTCACGCGATAACTCTGAGTTTTTAGGTTACAAATTCTTTAGGATATCTCAGTGTTATTTTGATATGAAAATATCTTTCCGCATGGGTTGATTTTAGTTTAGGAACTATTGAAAAAGTGACAGGACTAGACAGAAACGTTGTCGTCGTGATACCTGACAGGCCTGCGCTTTATCCCATACAGAGAAGCAACTGTACACTTCTGTGGAGGTGTCCATTACTCCCAGGCTTTCAGTGGTTCTCTTACAGATATCAATTTGTGGTGAAAGCTACTTGAAAATCCTTCAG